ACAGCTACAGTAAAGACTAGATAATACTGAAATACCTAAAAGAATGTTCTGTACAAGAAGAGCATAAGGTGTTTTCCTCCTTCTGACAGTACGCATAATACCAAGTCCTGGAAATAAAGCTAAGGAAAGACTAGCTAATAATGACACCAGAAATTTGTGTGAGATTGTAATACTTCCAACTCTGTGACCCATTTAACCTTATACAGGACCTTACAAAGTATGATGAAGAGCATGGGAAGAGGCGTCAAATTTGTGACTAGAGACCTCCCCCCCGAGTCTCCTGCATCCTCAGTGTTGAGCTGTTTTAACTGTTCCTCATAGTCAGAAATAAAGCTGAAAAGGAGAAAGTGCAAGGCAAGTGATAAACTAACAGCATGTGGCTTTGTGAGATGTAAAGTACCCAGCTGTAGCTAGCTGAGCCTGAACATCAGCAACCCCATCAAGATCCCACAAAGACACAGAAACCTCTCAACTCATTCCCTGGGATGTACTGAGGACACCCTAAGGGACCTTAGGGGTTCTACACAAACTGTCTCTGGAAGTTCTATTCAGATCCATGACACCACAATTTGGTGTCCCTATGTAGTGTTTCCAGTCAACAGCACCACTATAAAACAGCTGGACCACAGCTGGCTCAGCAGTTAAGAACACTGGTTGTTCTTGCAGAAGACCTAAGTTCCATCCACATGGCAGCTAAGGCAGCTAACAACTGTCCATAACTCCAGTTCCAGGGGATCCGATGCCCTCTTCTGACCTCAGGGGGCATTGCACAACAGGGGTGCACTTACCTACATGCAAGCAATACAGGCATACACATAAAATAAAAAAAAGAAAATACAAAAATACAAAAAAAGGAGCTATTTTGCACATTTTTTTTCTATTGAGCTTTTTTTGTCTTCCTAGGTTGTAAGAACTAGAGGTTTGTGTGTGTGTTTTCTCTTTGTTTTTTCAGTTAGTTGTTTTGGTATATATGTATGATGTGTATGGTGGGCACATATGTACTATGTGATGTTTATGATGTATGTCTGTATGATGGGCACATATCTACTATGACACGTGTGGAGGTAGGAGAACAATGCTGTGTTAGTCATTGTTTTCCCTTGTTTTGAGGCAGTCTAGTTGGTCCATGACCTTCCAAGCTTCCTGCAATTCCTGTTTTGCCTCCCATCTGGTAGGGGCATACCAGGATCACAGAAGCTTGCACTATTGCTGTGTCTTGCTTTTTTACACAGATTCTAGGGATCAGAACTGATTAGCAAGCACTTTACCACTGAGCCATCTCAGAAGCCAACCCTTTTGTTTGTGGGTATGTGTGTGTGTTTGCAGTGCTGGGACCTCAATGGTTAAGAGCCCTTACTTCTCTTACAGAGGACCCAAGTTTAGTTCCTATCAGTCAGGTGGCTCACAACCACCTGTAATGCCAGCTCCTGGAGGGCACAAAGCCTCTGGCCTTCATGGACAGCTGCACTCAATGTTCACATACCTATACACAGGCACACACACATAGTTAAAAATAAAAACTTGGGCCAGGCGTGGTAGTGTACACCTTTAATCCCAGCACTTGGGAGGCAGAGGCAGGTAAATCTTTGTGAGTTCGAGGCCAGCCTGGTCTACACAGTGAGTTCCAGGACAGCTGGGGCTACAAGGAGACCCTGTCTCAAAAAAAGACAAAAAAAAATCTTGGGACTAGAGAGATAGCTCAGTGGTTAAGACCACTGGCTATTCTTGCAGAGGACCTGTAACTATAGTTCCAGGGAATCCAAACCCCTCTTTTGGCTTCTGCAGGCATTTCATGACATAGGTACACTTATTTACATACAGGCAAAACACTTATAGGCATAAAAAATAAAAATAAGCCAGGCATGGTAGTCCACACCTTCAGTCCCAGCACTTGGGAGGCAGAGGCAGGCAGATCTCTGAGAGTTCAAGACCAGCCTGGTCTACATTGTGAGTTCCAGGTCAGCTGGGGCTACAGGGAGACCCTGTCTCAAAAAGACCAAAAAATAAATAAATAACAAAATTAGGGGCTGGAGAGATGGCTCAGTGGTTAAGAGTACTTGCTGTTCTTTGAGAAGGCCCTGGTTTGACTCCCAGCAGCCACATGGCAGATCTGGCTTTGTTGCCCACTTTTGGCCTTTGCAGACACTACACACATACCAATGAACATACCAGCAATCAAAACACTTGTACAAATAAAAATTTTTAAATCATTTAAAATTTCCGGGTGTGGTGGCACATGCCTTTAATCCCAGCACTTGGGAGGCAGAGGTAGGCAGATCCTTGCCAGTTTGAGGCAGGCCTGGTCTACATAGTGAGTTCCAGGACAGCTGGGGCTACAGGGAGACCC